TTCAGGTATCAATTTTTTTTGTCGGGACATGTCAGCTACCAATTTTCAGTCACAGACAAGATCAGAGAGATTGAGGAAATAAAGAGGAAGCTCGATCCGCCAGCTTCAAGCACGAGCAGACATAAAAGAGAAGAGGAAAATGAGCAGACACTGAAGCCTCCTCATCACAGGATCTAAATGCTTTGCATCTGCATCTGCATGCACATAGTTTGGCTAGCTGATCAGGAGCTGTGTTTGAAATGGACCTAACAGGGAGATGAATTTTGCATGAGATGGGTCTAGATGGAAAGAATGCGGCAACCAAACACACCCATTCCTGCACACAACATAGCATCTGAGCCAGGCTCATGCAGACATCGATCCAAACAGGCTCTACTGCGAGGAGAGTGTCCAGTGACATGAAATTTCCTCATGTCTCTCAGGCCTACCCACAAAATTGTAACAAGCTTGCACTGGAGTGATCAATCTCTTTCTTAGAAGCTTGTTGTGCTCCTTGGTCTTATTTTCTAGAGTGATTTTATAGTCCTTGAGAAGGTACTATATTTTCTAATGTAAAATTTAGGAAAAATTTCACAATTCTTGAGAGATACCGAGAGGTACTAAATTTGGTACCTCCTAGTACCAAAGGTACCAAGAGATACTAAATTTTACACTAGAAAATATAGTAGCCTCCAGTACCGACTCAAAAACTGTAAAATCACTCAAAGTTTAGTACCTTTCGGTACTCCAGGTACTAGGAGGTAACAGTTTGCACTAAAAACTTTGTTACCACTTGGTATCTCTCAAGAACTGTAAAATTTCTTTATTTTCTATGTGTGGAGCAAATAGAGGATATTACCCTATATATGAAAATTCACTATATGCTAACTATGTTTTCACATTTAATGTACCATATCTATATATTTATACCAGTGCAATCTTTTTTTATTAGCTAGTAGTATACCTCATATAGATCGATGGTGTTGGTACTTGTGATATTCTATTACCAGGAGAGACAAGTGTAAAAGTAATTAACGAGTCTAGAAGACATCAATGAGGGTGAGACGACACAATAATTTCATTAATTGTCTCACATACATTCAAGCGGTTCAGATTGAGTTCTCATCCATGTAACTTGCCGTCCGGAGGAGGACGGGAAGAAGAGATCAAATTAACAACGTGATCGCTCTTAGCGTTCAAAATAAGAGATTGTTTAGGCAGCAAATTAAATCGTCGTTAGCTCTCAAGGTGTCACAGCATAAAAATTTTCAGTGGAAGAGGCAAAATTTTCAGCACAATGTGCACCTGACAGTACACTACTGTAATGCCATTCAGATCATCGTTTCAGGTCAGGTTGATCAATTTGGCATAAACCACAGGCTTAACATGTACATCACCATAAACAGTAATGGAAGTTTACGGATTTGTTATCAGCAGCATTCCTTGAAAGTTAAGAAACTGTCATCTCTGCTGTACATGGCATTCAGGTGATCACATCCACTCAATGAAGAGTTTGATATCAAACGTTCAAACCGCCCATGAGATTCAGAAATTGGTTCCAAGAATCAAACCAAGAGTTGCATTGCAAGGATATCTGCTGATGCACCAGGCAGAATGAATATAAATTACTGTATCTAAAAACAGTGTCCAGTGAAGTCCGGATGTCTGAAACTTGCATTGGAGGAAGTATGGTCAGCAACCAGCTTACCAGTTGCATATGTTTCAGCTCTTGGTGCCTCCCAGGCCTACCATATCGTAGCAAAGCTATGGACTGTCTAAAATCTCCATGGTTCTTCTTGTTTATCTCAATTAACATCAAGCTAGAAAAACAAGATTGGCTACCTTTCATGCTTCTTTTATATATGGAGCAAAAAAAGATAGCATGGCATCATATAGTATCATGCATGATTTTAATAGCTTTCGCGAAAAAAATACACGATTTTAATGGAAGTGCATCTACATTATTGACTGAGCAATCAACAAAAATGGTGGTTTATGATCTTTAACGATCCATCTCAAAATCATTCACCCAGTCATACAACTCTACACAATCAAGTAACCGGATGGAGTCATGAACTTAATTCTTCATCAATTGCATTTGTGGCGTCAACGAGAAACTGACACAATTCCATTGCCTTGTCACACTTGCAGGACCCACCACATGGCCCTCACAAGAATGATTACAATGCCACCAAAGACATCATGATGCAATAGTTCGCAAAACTTCATGGTCTTAGCGGAAGGTGAAAAATGTCTGAATCTGCTATAATTGTTTGGACGATGAGAGTTATGCTGAGATGCAGTTTATTCTGAACTTGTGAACATATTTCCACAGACAAAATGGCAAACAAAGTGGGTCAATCATGTTTTACAATTCCGCATAGCATATTTCAACTACAGTCCAATTCATGAAGTGTACGAATAGGGAACTTAGTTTTTTTTTAAACGAAAAGCGGCAAAAGACTTACCGAATATATTAGAAGGAATAAAAGTCACAGTACAGACAGGGAAACAAAGAAAGCAACTAGCACGTTAAAAGAGTCATGCTATGAATTCAGAAGGTCGAACATTGACTCTTAAAACTCTTTGGGCCATCAGATAGGCCTTTTAGATAGATCTATTTGGTCTATATTTTTCCTTTACTAAAAAGGCCACCTGATTTTCATTCCGCGAGCTTTGCTGAAAAATTCTTCGATTGCGCTCAAGCCGAACGTTCCACTAACTTGATGGTTCCCGAGGATCTTCTTCTTCATGGTCCCTGACGAAATGTGGCAATCCCAATAGGGAACTTAGTTGATGGCCTTCTGGGTGATGACGAACCTAAGAAGCCTAGGAGATGAAATAACTCAATTTTATAGATGTTTCGTAATTAAAAAAATCAACGTAAAATGGTGAGGGAAGAACCTACACGAGGTGACCATCGTACAAAGATCCAATGTTGAACGGTGACCAGTTACATGTACTCTCTCCCAAAAATCTCATATATCATTCTTTGGTTTTTCCAAAAATCTAAGTCCTATTTGTAGTCACTTTGTGCTAAATAAAATTGTTAATCGGAAACCAAGAAGTCATTCTAATACTTATTGGTTGCATGTTCATTGGTTTGCCATATGGTGAGTGAGTTAATTGCTTCTTGGTATTGATGCAAAAATAAATAGGTCTCAAATTTTTGGAAGGAGGGAGTATAATGTAATATGATTCCTGGAGAGATCTGAATAACTTGGTTAATCATGTCTACTAGCTTGAGAAATGGTGAGCAAAGAACTTAGCAGATTGAGACTATTTTGTAATTGAAAAATTCCCGGTGCTTCCTAGGCCAAACTATTATGGCGATAAGCCACTTGAAAAATCTTATCTCCATCAATTCTCCTTCTCTTTCTCAGCCTGAGATCCTTATTCATATTGCCTTTTATAGGTCAGGAAAAGGGATATGGTGATGTAATAAGTGAGCTTTAGTGCACCGTCAGATGTGGAGAATGGGATGTTTCCATTGTCTTATAACGAAATCGTTAAATTATATATGGCAGTTATATAAATATTAAGGATAAGATATGTTTAGAGTCCTTCATTATTAGCGAACAGTTGACTATGCATTGAAATCAGCTTTCTTGTCTCTATCGTTGTACTCCTATATATACAATTCACGAGGCTCCAAAACAAATCAACCAATAATCGCAGTATATTTCTCTTCATGGACTATTTAACACAAATGTGATCACATTTTTTTGAAAATGCATTTCTTAATGCTTCTTACAGTTATTCAAGAAATGAAAGGTGGAGCTGATTTCAATGCATAGTCAACTGTTCGCTACGCAATATATATTGATGCAACAGAAAGCTGAAGATCTAGCTAATTAACGAGTTACATGTTGCATTAGTGCAAAATTCATTCAAGTGGTGTTTTTTGAGGACGCCCTCTATTAACTCAAAAAATTGCACTTACCCACCTAGATAAACCAGGTCGGTCATCTCCAACCATTCGATCGCGATCGGGCAGACATGATAGTCGAAGCCAGCTTGTTTTCTTTTTTTTGGTATGACACCTTCCTTTAATCCGTATTTCCAATCACCAAGTGCTATGTCTCCCCACTCATCAGCGACGAACTACGATATCGAACTTGCTTCCTGTGTTGTGGACAAACACACTGGCATCGATCTACTGTTCTCTCCCTTCCACCAAAATGGTCCATCTGGTGCGTCGACCTCAACATCGCGCCATCGATGGCTGCACTTACAAACTTACAGAGGCAGAGTTCCATGGAGGCCAACCTTGGTCATGGCCCCTCCAGCTTTAGAAATATTGCATTATTGGAGTCCCCAAGTCTTTGATACTCTAATACTTCACAAAATAGCACAATAACCGTTCAAAGAAGCTATCACACTGTCTCTCTCCAATTTATTGTTCAAGCTCCGCCGCTGCAAGCGGAGCAAGTTGCTGCGCGGTGTTTCTTTTTTTTTTCACGAACACGCAGTGTGTGTCAGCATTAGAAGAAAAGAGTTTTAGTTATACAACACAATAAGCCTGACCGGCCCTTGCCAAGTAACAAGGGAGGGATAGCAGGGGTTGAACAAAGAGAAGGGATACAAACTAACAAAATTGCTGCTCCTAGACAGAGGAAGAAAAAAGGAAAAGGAACCCCCTATCCTCCCAATAGGTCCCAAAACGAAGCGGCACTAGCTAAAGACTAGAGCGCTGTTTCTGTTAATTATCACAAACTAAAGTACCCATGTAACTCGCCAGAGATAGAAGGGAAGATGAGGTCAAATCGTGATATATTGCTTAGTTATGAGCATTTAACAAGAGATGCAAGGAAGGTGGGAAGTCTCTCTTTGTTTTCTATCTCGATCGTGTGAATGAATCTGGACAATATTTATGAAAGACGGCACACGAATCCAGGCAGATGTACAAGGGATTGGCGTGACAATTTTACACAAACCAACGGCTAAAAAGGGATTGCACCACATGTACATCACTGGAGCAAGTGAAATTTCACCATAAAAGCAGCCAGCTTTACGCGAGATAATAGCGAAAGGAGGAGAGATTTGCTCCGGTCCAACAAAAAGTACATCGAGGTACCAGTACCTCACGGTACCAAGTCGTTTCTGATCGTTGGATCTAAAAATGCCCATTCTATCCAGCTAGATTCAATGATCGGAAATAATTTAGTACCGTGAGGTACCGGTACCTCGAGATAACCGGAACAAATCTCAAAAGATGAAGCCCTATCGCGACCATGAAATTCAGGTGACCAAATCCACTCTAGAGGGGCTTCATCCTGCGACCTTGAAGGTGCCTGCCGCAAGATACATAATAAACTGGTTGGTTGTTGCTAGCATTAAAATCAAGAGCTGCATATATGCCAAATTAAACATGTCCACTGAATTATGAAAGTCTAAAGCTTGTTTGAGAGGAAGAATTGGGTCAGGCAACAGCTTACCAATAAGATGTATGAGAGCTCCTGACGTCTTCCAAGCCTACCATACAATAGCAAGCCAACCATTGGGCTGGCTGAACTCCATGAAATATTCTTGTTTCATCTCTCTTAACATCAAGCTAAAAAAACATGTTGCTGCTACTTCATTTTATCTACTCTTTTATGGAATTCAGCATGTCAACTATCTAGTTAGTCATGTCAACTATCTTGAGAAATGCTGAGCAAAAAACTTAGTAGCAGGAGGCTAGTTTGTAACAGGAAAGCTCCCGATGCCTCTTAGGCCTAACTATTATATATGGAGCAACAAGCCACTGGAGTGGTCTATCTCCCATCAACTCTTCAATATTTGTTTTTCAGTCTGGTGTCCTTTCTCTTGTTATATGTGGAACAAAATGATACGGTCATGTAGAAAGTGTTATAGCTTTGTGCATCTTTGGATGCCAGGATGTAATTATTCTATTATCTTAAAAAAATAAAAAATATGATCAAGTATGATTTAAATGCTCATCAGTTACTATTAGCTACCACACACTGATGCAATAGAAGGTTGCAGAACAGACACGATTTGGTTTGGTGGCAAATTAATTTAAGTGGTGTTTTTTTGAGGAAACCTACATTTACGTCGAAAAAGTTAGCCCATTCGATAAACCAGGTCATATCCAACCATTTGATAGGACAGATATCAGATAGCTTTGTGGAAGCCATGGATTGTTATTTTTTTCAAGAAGAAACCTCCTTTTGTCCATATTTCTAGTCATCAAATTGGCGGCTTTGTACTTTGTTTTTTCTTGATGAAATACAGAATACACATTTCGCCACTTCCAAAAAAAAAAAAACAGAGTGGGTGAATTATGTTTTTCAGAAATTCAGCATATACCATTCCAACCACAGTCATGAAGTGTACAGGCAGGCAACTTCGTCGATGGGCTTCTAGGCGACGACCAACATAAGAGGCCTGAGAGATGCAGTAACTCATTTTTATAGAAGTTTCTAAGAAAACTTTCAAGGTAAAATGGTGATGACGAGAACTTATGCGTGTGAGCTGATCATGGTACAAAGATCACATATAAAATGGTGACCAGTTACATATAAAATGCAATATGTTTCCTTGATGATTGAGGACCCTGTAGCTAATCATGTCTAGTTATCCGATAAATGTTGTGGTAAAGAAGTTGAAGGAATGGGCTATTTTGTAGTGGGAAAGCTCCCGGTACCTCCTAGGCCTAACTTTCAACAACAAGCCACTGTAGTGGCCCATCAACTCTTCATCTCTTTCTCAACCTGGGGTCTTGGATCCTGTCTTTTATAATGTCGGAAAAAAGGATAATCTGTACTCCCTCCATTTCATTTTAGGTGTAGTTATAATTTTTCATGCCCAACTTTGATCGTCCGTTTTATTTGAAAATTTTTTAAAAAAATTTAAAAACTTAAGCCATGCATAAAGTACTATTTGTGTTTTATCATCTCATAACAATAAAAATACTAATTATAAAAAAATTTTAAATAAGACAGACGATTAAAGTTGGGCACGAAAACTTATGGTTGCACTTAAAATAGGATGATCGAAGGGAGTAATAACCGATCATGACTTTGTGAATCGATCGTCAGATGCAACGATTGCGATATTATTATTACACTATGTTTGAAAGATTGAGTGTCATGTTTCATACAGTCGATTTCAATGCAGCAAGGCAACATTCACGCAAGGAAGAGCTGCAGACAAAATTAACGAGGCGAGGATTTGGATGGGTGCGTCATGGATTAATACAATGGAATACATTAGCAGCATGAGATGATCCAGCAATAATCAAGAGTGATCCAAACTAAAGAGTTGGAATGCTTTTCTTTCGTGTATGAGGTCCTCTTTTCAGTCGAAATACTACCTCCATTTTTTAATATATGACACATTTGACTTTTTGACAAACATCTAACAGTTCGAGAATTACATCGCTAACTCTAGCAGAGTCAACTACAACTGTTCAACCAGATCACCCGTGCATCAGCGGAATCAGCAGTTGAACTGTTGAAGTTAATTACCAGCGTCTAAGAAGATCCACGAGACAACAGAAAAGGAAGAAGCTGCAGTTTGCTCCCTAGTTGAGGATATAGACCAGATTGACTGGACAATAAACTGTTCTGCAACCTTGAAGAAGCCTACGAGATGCAGAAACATGTGTCGCATGCCAAAACATGTCCACTGTGCCACTGCACCAGAGTTCTGAAACTCTGAAACTTGCTTGAGAGCAGAAGTGAAACAACGGTTATGCAACAGTTTACCACCGGCGTATCTGACAGCTCCTGATGCCTCCCAGACCTACTATACAGTAGCAACTGGGCGATGAGCTCCAAGAACTACTTCTTTTGTTCACTGATGACTTGTTGTTGTTTTTTCACTACCGCTGTCAATATATGATCAATGTTTACTGATGCCCATCACTTCCCAAACTAAGAAATGATGTCACTGAATAAAGACGGCCAGAAGGTGAAAAATGCATTTGATTGGTTAGTTATTTGGACAAACAGAAGCACGCTAATGCGACAGCAGGAGATGCATCGACAGATGCATGGTGACCTGTTACATGTTATCGAGTCTATATAGCATCTGATTGAAGTGATCATTTAAATACAGCTATATTCCAGTTCAATGCAGCACATAACTTCTTTTGTACTGGTGGCTAAAATGGGTTTGCACAAGCGGGGACAACCGCCTTTGAGAAAATGTCTGTGAAAATGCTATATTTCCATAGGCCGGGAAGCAACCAGCTGAGGAAATGCATTTCCACATTTTAATTTTTCAGGTGAAAGAAAGGTAAATAAATTTTGTATTTTAGTATGTGTCTATACATGGTCAATTTTTCATAGCTATGCAAAATAAATACGAATGGTTTGGTGGTTATAGAGAGTAAGGTGAAAATGCGTGAAACTGGTAATTATGTGAACGAACAGAAGTTCATGCAATTTACTCTGAACTTGTGAGGACATTTGCAAAAACAAAATGAACAGAGGGACTGTGAATTTTGTTTTTCAGAAGTTCAGCGAAGCGCTTTCAAACAACAGTGCAATTCATGACAATGCTGACTTCGTCAATGGGCTTCCAGATGATTGATGATGGACATAGCACTAGAAGGACTGAGCGATGCATCAACCCATTTGTAACTATCAATGTTTCTATAAAGGGGGGAAAAAAGATGCTAGAGGAAAAATGGTGAGGTTAAGAACTTAAATGAGCCTATAATGAGAGAAAGATCTATATAGGCAAGGTGACTAGTCACATGTAGAATGTAATATGATTTCTTGATGCACCATTCCTGTGTGGTTGGTATCTTGAAAATTCCCAAGACAGTTAGCAAAGAACACACTGGGAATTGACCCATTGACAGGACATTTCCCGGTGTCTCCCATACCTAAGTGTCCTAGAAGAGATTTGCTCCGGTCCAACGAAAAGTACCTCGAGGTACCGGTACCTCACGGTACCAAATCGTTTACGATAGTTGGATCTAACAATGTCCATCCTGCCCAACTAGATCCAACGATCGGAAACGACTTGGTACAATGAGGTACCGGTACCTCGAGGTATTTTTGTTGGACCGGAGCAAATCTCGTACTAGAATGATCCACCCATATATTGATCTCCATCTTCGTCGTCTCTCTCTCTCTCTCGGCAGCTTTATGTGCTGTTTAAAAGATGCACTGTGCATCTCTTGCTAGCTTCTATTAGTAGTTATTCAAGACCTGCAACTGATGAGGTTGATCATGAGATGATTCATCAGTAGCGACCCCACCCGGAAGAAAAGGAGGGGTATTTTTCATAAAATACCTTCCTATTATCCTTGAGCAAGATCAATGTATGTGTGATTACCAATTACATATGAAATGTAATTTGATCCTTGAGCAAGATGTGGTTATTGAAGTCTACTAACTTGAGAAATGATAGTAAAGAATTTGGTAAAAAGTGGGTTATCCATAATAGGACAGCTCTCGATACCTCCCAAGCCTACCATGGCAAAAGCAAGCAGTTGGAGTGATCAATCTCCATCATTTCTTCTTCAGCCTCTGCTCCTTGATCTTGTCTTTATATTCATAGAGCAAGCAGGACATGGTCATATCTGAAAATTGAGTGTTTTTTTTTCAGTTCAGAGAGTTTAATGCTTAATAACCTACTAGTATTACTCTCTTACCTAGGCACCCACTAAGAGATTATTACATTGGAGCCTCATCTCCAGCCATTCGATCACGATCAATAGGACCATAAGAAAGGATTAGAGGATGGTGGAAATACTGCCTCTGCTTTCTATTAGAAATGATAGGGATCAAAGGACAACGCTGTGAAAGATGATATGGATATGGGCCGCGTCAAATACGTGCATATTGCGACATTGAATTGATCAGATTTGCTCAAAATGCAGAAACTTGTATGTATGCTAAACTTGCATCAACTGGTTTCTAATTGCTAGAAAAGCATCAGCAGTAGAGAGGCAGAATGGTATGGCAACAGCTCACCACCGGTTTATCTCACAGCTCCTGACGCCTCCCAGGCCTATGATATTAGTAACTGCAGCAAGCCAGTTTCTTGGTTGCTGAACTCCATGAGCTCCACTTGTTCATCTCTCTGAACATCAGTGAAGAAAAACAAGTTTGCTGCTACTTCATTTCATCTGCCCTTCTATGGATCAAAAAAGAAGACAGCATAGTATCATACACGAATTTATTGTCTGATAAACATTCAGTAATTTAAGAGTAGTTAGGGATTTTGTCTCATCTTATTATTGGTTGTGTGCCTTATGGCAGAGGCGGGTGGAGTGATTGGTCTCCCATACTACTTCTCTCTCTCTCTCATTTCTTACTTGTTGGTGTCTCAATTGAGAGCCCCATTGGTTGCCCTAATAAGCTAAAGCAAAAGTTAAATTTTAAATTTTCAAACTTAATTTTGAAGTTGATTTAAAATATTTTCAACGTGATTCTTTTTAAGCGTTGGCTTTTAAATCGCTAAGAACACATACATAAAAGTTTTACTTATAAATTAATTTTTATTCTCTAATAAGCCAAATCCAATGGGAGCCTGATTATTTAATCGTCTGATCTGATGCCATCATTTCAAAGCAGAACTTAGCTCGGGAAAAACTGACGACATGTAATTAATGTTATTGCTTTAATTTCATGGGAGTGGATTATATAACACTGTGATAGATCAATGTCCCCATACATATATATTGGTAGTGATCAATGATATTATGACAAACCAATGAATCATTGAATTGTTCTTCCTCTCCTGCTTTGAATAGCGAATGTTCAACAATGTCACTTCACAAAACATAGAAAATTAATTTTATGATCCTTAAGAGGGTATCGGAAGGTACCACACTTTCTAATATATAAAATTTAATACTTCTTAGTATCTCACATATCGGGAGATACTAAGAAGTATTAAATAGACACCACATGGCACAGCAATTTTTTCTAAGTGTCACCTCTCAGCTCTGTTCTCCCTCACCTCTCCTCTCCCTCATCTCCCTCAATGACCGATGATGGGGGCGGCAGAAACCGGCGACGGCGAGGCGCGGAGGCGGCGGGGTCGGCGGGGTTGGCGACGGCAAGGCGCGGGGTTGCCGACAGCAAGGCGCGGGGTCGGCGGCGGCAACAGCGAGGCGTGGGGTCAACGGCGGTAACGGCGAGACGGCGGGGTCGGCGCGGCTCCCCTCCCCTCCCTCCTAGATTCGGTCGAAGGGGGGAGGGGGGAGGAGAGGTGGCGGCGGCGGCGGTTCCCCTCCCTCCCAGATCCGGCCGGAGGGAGGCCGGGGAAAGGCAGCGGCAGTGGCGACAGTTCTCCTCCCTCCTAGATCCAGCCGGAGGGAGGCTGGGGGAGGGCGGCGGCGACAGTTCCCCTCCCTCCCAAATCTGGCTGGAGGGTGCCCCGGGGAGGGCGGTGGCGGCGGCAGTGCCCCTGCGCAGTTCCCCTAACCCTAGATCGGCCGGAGGTGGGTAGGGGCGCGGGTGTGGTGGCGGAGAATTTTTCTTGTTCGTCGAGATGATTTTCACAAGCGGGTGACTGGGCCATTTGCGAAAGGCATTGACATACAGGCGGATCGTTCCCCGCCTGAAAAAAATCATTTGTGTCCGCCTGAATAAACCATTTTCTAGTAGTGAGATACCAAATTTTGTACTAAAAATCTTGGTTCCTCTCGATACCTCTTAAGAACTATAAAATTTCAAATAAGAAATTAAAGCACTAAATAAACATGTTTGGATCTTCTCAAAAAAAAATTAAAGATTATTGTATTCCGTTGATTGTATCGTGGGTGCTGAATATTGTGCCTTCAAGAGGCCCCAGTCACTCATATATAGAGATGATGCGGGGTAGGATTAGAAGGTAGAAAACTTAGCCATATATGGCTTTAGTTTTCTGGTCTCTATTTTTTATTTATTTGAATAGGATTCCATACCCTATATTTTGTAGTACAAGAAATCATACTATGGCCTGATTTAGTTCCTAACTTTTTCTTCAAACCTTCAACTTTTCTATCACATCAAAACTTTCCTACACACACAAACTTTCAACTTTTCAGTCACATCGTTCCAATTTCAATCAAACTTTTAATTTTGACGTGACCTAAACACACCCTAGGCTAGTTTGAGTCTACCTTCTATCTCCTAGATCAGGCCCACTCTCCCTTCATAGCCATTAATTATGCCTGTCGTGTGGGTACCCAGATCCATGATCGCTACAGGGTCCTGTGACTTGCGAAATTGCAGTACAACCTACTAGCAACTGGATCGGTTGGTTGCTGTGTTCGTTTATCGCGGTCATTGCTTCAAAATATCATATAGGTGTAGGCACTATATAGGTGCCGAAAGTGCTAAAACCAAAACCTATAGTCATTTTTCCATTTTTACGGGTTGAAATCTCAAAAAAAAAAAAACCTTTAAACAATTATAGGTGTCGGTTAACCGACACATATTCTATAGGTATCGGTTTTTTTTTAAAAAAAAGACACCTTTAATATATTAATATATTATAGGTGTCAGTTAATTAAAAATCGACACCTATAATATACGGTTTTAAAAAAAAAGATACCCGCAGAAATCGAGCTGGGCCGACAATCGAGCCAAGCCAGTTTTTTTTTATTCTTGTGACCTCAAAGGTGCCGGGCACCTTTAAATATTCACATCAGTGCCGCCTCCGTGGTGTCGCTTGGGAAAACCGGCACCTATGTGGGGTTCCCAACCGGCACTAATGTGGTTTTATGTGGCAGTGAGTTGGGAACGGTTTCCTATGGCATGGAAAACGGAACAGTTCATTAGTGCGATTAATTAAGTATAAGTCTAAAAATAGAAAATAGATTAATATAAATTTTTAAAGTAACTATCTACCATATATAAATACATATATGTATATATATATATATATAAATACACATATATATATATATATATGGTGTGCTACCTAGTTACGTAACACCTCTCACAGAGTCTCCTTGCGTGTCCCTACTAGGCCCAGCCCACCCCCGCCTGCACCCACCAAAGTAATTTTTTTACTATGATTAGCACCGTCTATTTATATGTGTTTCTATCCGGCAGTAACCATCCAACCCCTTATCCCCGAAATTTTTGGATCATCCACTCAGCCGGCGAACGCCTCACCCTGCCGTCAAGATGGCCAGACCAGCTGGGATGCGGTGAAGAAGGAGCGGCTAGTGCAGTCAGCACAGCTAGGGGTCGCCAAACTCCACATCGGAGTGGCGTTAGAGGACCTGCCGTTGAGGGGGAGCCGCCGTCATCCGATCAGATCTGGAGCCACCGTCGCCATGGCTCTCCACCGCGGAGGCCTAGGCAGCCAAGGACACGAGGTGACTGCCAAGCTCCTCCAACGCCTGCCGCAGCGCCGTCCACCCCTCCCGCCATCGGCGATGTTCATGAAGGAAACGGGATGTAACCCGATCCGCTGGGACCAGCGCCGGTGGCACCAGGAGAGCCGCGACAGGTCCGGGGCATCAGGCATGGCTTCCTCCTCCTTGCTCATCACGGACCAGCGCTGTATCGGTGAGACCTGGCGGCTGGAGGCTGGCCGTCCCTGTGCTATGCGTGGATTCCAGGCAGATTTGGCGCTGATGGCTGACATTGCCTGCGCAGGGCCACACCTGCTGCTCGTCAATTTCTTCCCTATCTACAAGCTGGGTCCTCACCAACACCTGCGACACTTCTCATGTTGGTCCCTAGCTCTGCTCTCCTTTATCTCCTCTCTTTCAATTGAAGGGGTGGGTACCAGCAACCTTCTTCTTGCCAGTAAAACAAATAGATTTTTCCTCTTCGATTGTGCGGTCTTAATTTGCAACAGTATTTTTTTATTTTATTTTTTTTTGCATTTGCTCATTGATTTTGTTGTAGATTGCCGGCACCCAAAGACAGCCGAGGACTTCCTGAAGCTGAGCCCCGGCCGCAAGGTTAATTTTTCTCTAGACGCATCTTGATTGGTATATGTATTCGTGTTAATCCTGAGTAACATGACCACAGAAGAAATAATCTGCAGCTGTGGTTGGTATTCACACTCCACTATGATTGATGGAACTGATGGTTTGGGTGTTGCTGATTTGGGAGTTGGTGACATTGAAACAACCACTGATTGCACAAACACATCAAATATATGTATAAGTTTTATGAGTCTATTAGTATATGTTCTTTAGGTTATTTTTTTTTGTACTAGTCTTGTATCTGACATTCTGAATTGCTGACAAATACATGTATGAAATTTTAGGTTTTTTGCTGTGCCAAAGGAATAAGATGAAGTTTCTGAAATTTGATATCCACTGACACCCTGCTGAAATCAAACATGGCACTATTATTATAGCAGCAACCGCTGACTGCTCACTCAAACACATCAAATCCTCAAACCTCAGCTGCGATGCTAGCTCATGGAGCTTGAGACCGTGTGTTCTGCATGCAGAGTACTCGAGCATATTGTAATTTTGGTGCAGTACTACAGTGGCATGGAAACAATGTGCCGGCGTCCCTTAGTCATGGCTCTGCCCAGCCAACCCGACGAAGTGGTCATATGCTTAGTGTGTAAAAATTTTATTGTTCGCAGTGTTTGTGTAGTTTAGCTTGTAATTCAATGTGATAATCGTCAGTAAAAACTTTATCTATCGATGTATTATTGCGGTGAAAGTTTGACCTCAATCTTTTCACCCCAATAAAATAGAGTAAATAAATTACTCAAACAATCTTTTGTCCCAATAGAACGGAGTAATTAAATTACTCACACCAACTTAACATGGATGTTAACCTTAGTGGAAGTAAACAAATTACTAATATAAACCAACCTCAACAAAACCGACTGACGGCACAATAATTTACCGATACATTTATGCCAGTCTACAAGTGCAATATTTGCCTCATGAGTCCGATAGTAATTTTTTAACTGGAGGGTGGGCTTATAAGAAGAAAATATGAGTCCAATAGTAATTTTTTAACTGGAGTGTGGACTTTAGATGGTGGGAGACCCCACGAGTAATTTTTTTACGGAAACATGTGGACAGTGATTTTTTAACTCGTGGCTGTTGGATATATACATGCGTCTGGGACATGGGAATCAAAGTAATTTTTTTACTCGCTCCTCCTCGTGGATATCGGATGAGGTGTGGCATACATATCCAACCGAAACAGTAAAAAGGGAGAAATTCAGGGTGAGTAATTTTTTCACGGACGTTGGGACGCACGGGGAGGAGCAATCGAACGAAAATCAGGAAGCGGTGGGGCGCCCAAAAAAAAAAAAGCGGACCTCGCTGCTGTTGTGAGTCGCGCTACTGATTCGGTAGCGCGTGTAACATGCTAGGTAGCGTCACCGTAACTACTATATGACACCTTAAGGGTGCTACGTAGCTTCGTGGCACTCCTCACAACAACCCCATACTATCTGCACCCACCATTCTTCCCTATTAGTAATTATTTTACTCTCATCTCACGCTAGCAGCACCCCTTAAACACAATCCCATACCCTTTAACGTAGTAATTTTTTTTACTCAAATCCTCCAACCTATATATGTAGCCATTTTATACGGTAGGATAGATTCCCAAAATTTTATCCAATGTTACCGTTTTTCTCGGATCTGGAGAGGCCGCGGAGGGCGCATCGGCACCGATCGGGAGAGGCGGCATGATCCGGCGTGGAGTTGGCAGGCGGCGGCGGGACCATGGCAGCGACCGGTTCTATCGTAGCCAGGTAACGACCAACCCGAGCATGCGGGAGATGGCGACGTGCTGCGCATCTAACAGCGAGGGGAGATGGGAGACGGGCTCCTCTGACAGCCAACGGAACGGCGACCCCAGCGATGGCTGGATCCATCCACCATGCGACGGTGGACGACGGCCCCGGCGACGGTGGGATCTTTCCCCTATCCAGAGTGGCCGGAGGCAGAAGTGGAGGATTGATACGTCAGATCTGGCACGAGCATCACCGCTGGAAACGAATCCACATCGGACGGCGACCTCTACACCTCAAAATCGCCGGTGAGTTCCCGACTGCTACCTCGTCCACGGCGCTCCTCCAGGCCGGCGGCTGAGATCCATGATGCGCCTCTCTCTCTCTGTTTCCTTGGCAGGATCCAGTACGTCTTTGGTCGTTCCTGTCTCCGGTCGAGATTGGCGGCGACTGCTGGTCGTTGGCGGGCACACCCATCTCTGCATGTGTTGGTTGGTTGGGCGAGGAGGATGGTGATGTCGTCCCCCTCCATCCCTCCCCTATAAAAATGTTGCGGCGCTGGAATCTAGTGTAGCGCTTCAGTCTTATGGTGTTGCTAGATTGGGTTCCGGGTTTCGACGCCTGTGGGAGGCTGCGATGATGAGGAGGTGCGTCGTGGTGGCCCAACAGAAATTATAAAAATTGTAGATACACTCATAGCATGACACATCAATGATAGTAAAAATGTAGTAAAAGAAAAGTTAGTACATATAGCCTTTTCCCTTTCATTTTTTGTTAACACGTTTCACACACGGTTAAACAGTGTGTTAAACAAAAAAAAAAGCCAAGCCTCTCTGGTGAGAGTTGACGAGTTTCTGCCTCATGCAGCTAGGGCCGAAGACCGGGGAATCTGAGGTCAAAACTTTTCATATAGAAGTTTCTTAAAAAAACAAATAAACCTATTTTTTAACATTGTAATAATTATTACTTAATTAATCATGCGCTAATGGTTCATTTCGTTTTGGGTGTTGCTAAAAATCCCACCACGTACTACTTCCCTCTCGAGCATGAATGTATTGCCGTTTGTATGTCATCGTCCTATGGGCTGTCATCTTATCTGAATTCCTAATGGCTTGTTTTGAAACGCGAAGTTGTAAAAGCATATGAATAGAAAAAAAAAACAAGAATATCGTATAATAGCATGTATAAAACAAAGGATTTGAGAAAATATAGAAATTTCGTAGGAATGGATGTTGTGATGAACCATGAAAAAACACAGGAAACGACAGTACGTGCAAAGTTAATTAGAGAGTTAGCCATGCTCTTATCCCTAAAGAACAGTATAAACAAAGGGAAGGTCCGATGATGATATGATGCTTAAGCCTTGCATTAGTGGCATCAGAGCGCGATTTGCCTTGATCCTACACGATGGGAACAAAAACAAGGTCATACTGGATGTTTTTTCCCACTATTTTCCTGCGAAATTAGCACCATAGAAAAGATTTCTCCATTTTTCCTATGTTCCGAATGGATGAATATGGTAACCATTTCCCATAGGAATTGGAATCTTCCGTTTTTCCTTCAAGGATCCTTCAGTCCGAATGAACCCTAAGCAGGCATGCATATATGTGATGGGGAGTACCTATGCATCTTTCGAAAGAATTTTATAATCATATCACACAGATTTTTAATCTTTGTATTAAAATCCAATAGATACAATAAAAGACAAAAAGCAACTAAGAAACACCATAATAGACACTAATTACCATATCTTCAAGAAAAAGACCAAATCCAATATATATTTCAAAACTTACATGCGAAGATTCAAAAATTACACTGTAATTTACAAAAGTTACAATGTAAGTTTCATAAATTACACTGTAAATACACTATAAATTTAAGTGAAAAAATAGAGTGAGAGATAAGAAAAAAATCTTTCGAGTGAGATATAGCAAAATCGATTCTGATGATTCAATGTGGCCGTGACACTACTTTCTCTGATCTCTTCTCCTTTTCTTTACTATAAAGTTATTAGTAAATAGTTAGGAAAGGGTCATCTAAGAAATACAATACTGATGAAGAAAGTTTATATAGAAATTAATCGTACTTTAAAAAAGTGTGGCACAAATAATTTGGTATCCAGCCGGGGCTATATATAAGAACTGAAAAAAAGGGGCCAATTAATTGTGGGGCCAAGAGGGAAGCCAGGTAATGTTGTGTCTATTTAAGCTTCGTCTCAGCTGGAGTCTCGCATCCATGGAAAGAGGCCGGCCGGTACCAAGCGGGAAAGGTTTAGGAGAGCTTAAGGAAGACACAAGCTAGCTATAGCTAGTGTGCAGTGCAACTGAACTGATCTAGCTCGATCACAGTTGTTATCAGTTATGGTATATCTTAATTACTATACTCGTCTTCTTCCTGCTACTCGATCATATATCTACTCGTTTACTAGCTATAATTACTGTTGAGGTGTTTATATATATATATATATATATATATATATATATATATATATATATATATATATATATATGTGTGTGTGTGTGTGTGTGTGAAAACTATTCTACATCCGGCGTATAGCTATTATATACCCCCCCTCTCTCCTAAGGGCGGCTCAACCCACCTCCCCTCTCTTTCAAGGGTTCAAAACCCACCTCCCACCTCAGTTAAAAGTCGGTCAAAGCATTCTCACATTGATCAAATCCCGGTCAAGCCGCCTACTAACTCCTCCCACCAACCACCTCTTCTCAGCTCTCGTCTCGCAGAACGGTGCAGTAACACGACGATCACTATGTCTTACGTGTAGTAACGAAGTTCGAATATAGTTGAAATATAGTCATGACGGATCTACTCTTGATAAGTACTTTTTTTAGCATCATGGTGCAAACGGTTTTAAAAAAATATACATCACGTGAGAGATATTGTTCTTTAAACATTGATTTTTTGGAATTTGACTCTCCACAGGTAGTAATACTATAGCATTCTTGTTACTATTTTCTGTTTTACGTTATTACAATCGCATCACGACGTTACTGTAAAAGTGCAATACAGATTATAAATTTTATAGTAACAATGCATCTTACTGTAATTCTTGGGTAGTGTTACTGTATTTTTTATATAGTGTTACTGCATAAATATATGGTAACGTGTGTCTATCATGTAGTAACACTTTCACTTTTGTGCAGTAACAAGTATATTTAGCATGTAAAACTTTTATATATGTGTGTATTATTATTAATTAATTTGGCATATATATGCAGGATGGACGTCGACAGCCCCAGCCCGGACCAGCTACAGTGTGGCGAAACATGGACGAAAACCAATCGTTCCGGCAGCAAATCGATGCCCTTAACGAAAGGATAAGAATCCTGGAGAGGTACATTGAAGAAAAGAAGAGGGAATTCGATAACCTACAACAGCAATACGACACGCTCCGGTAAGCGCATGCAGGATGTCCTCGTAGATACTAAAATGAAAGACTACGCACATACATGCATGTATGTGCGTAGTCTTTCATTTTAGTATCTACATGTGTATATATATATCTACGTACGTACGTACCTGCATATACTATACATACATGCGTGTGTATACTCCAACCTAGCTAGTATGAGTGTGAAGGGAGTATACTATATTATATTATTTGTGTGAATAATGAAGCTCTGCAGGCATGCTGAGCATGGCTTTGCTGGAGCTAGCTAGCATATGTAAACATGTACCTAAACGGATTGAAATCCTCTAACTTATTTTCATCTGCACTTATGCTCAAAGTCAGATAGAAATAAATTAGAGGTTCCTCTTCCGTACCTAGACGCGATCATGCACATGTCTCTCCCTGCCTGCAGGCTGCAGCAGATCGATAGGCAAATTAAAGTGGTCAGCGTAAACAAATATTGTAAATTTGTTTGGTGCTCCATGGTGCCCGGGCACCATTGTTGAAATTGAGTATATACCCAATTCAAATGAGTATGAAACTTTTTCAATTACTTAGGTATTAACATTAACTACTTTACTAACTAGTTTAAAGCAAGTTTGAACTGAATTTGAACTTGTTTTTGTT